GGGAAAGCAAGGGAACTGCACGGGTGAGCCTTTGCCAGCGGGCATCTCTGGGAAGTCCTTCCGTGCAGAGCCCCGACCCAGGCAGGGCCTTTGCTGGCTCCACGGGGCTCCTGACCAGGCCCCCCCCTCCTCCACCAATCTCGGGAATCTCCCCACTTCCAAACTAGAGGCTGCCCCTCCTCTTCTTCCTGTGACCCTCCCCGGACACCCACCCGACACCCCACTCCCACCCCTGAACAGAGTTATTTCCAGGGCCCTGTTGCCCTGCCAGCTCCCTACCAGCTTGTGCACCTCCTGTGGGTTGACAACAAAGAGCCTCTCGTTGAGCCCCAGGGATGTGGCCACTCCGCGGGCCTCTGGCTGCAGACCTGTGGCATCTGCGAGAGAGGGACTGCGATGGGCATGGCCAGGCAGGGAGGAGGCCCTGCTTGAAAGCCCAAGGGCCCCTTCTCCCGATGGCAGGTGCTCTAAACTCACAGGTGCACGTGCCGCCCACACGCATACCATCACCCACACGGAAGAGGGAGAAGAATTAAACTCACGGAGCCTCAGTTCCCCCCAGTGACACAGAGAGCAGAGAGCGCGCCCTGACTACTACCTGATACAGCGAGATGGTGGGTCCAGCTCGCGGCCACACGCACAGATGCGTGGGCCGGCCTTGGAGAAGGGGCAGAGGCCTCACAGGCCTCACAGACGTCTTGGGGTTGGCGCTCATCAGCTCCTCGGACAGAGACTGGGCGCTTGTCATGACGGGGTCCCCAGCCTCTCGACAAGCAGCTTCCAGAGGAAGGCACACAACACCACCCGTGCATCGAAGAAACCTGTGAGCTCTCATGCCTGCATCTGCGTCTCTCCTGTCTTTTGCATTTCTATTCCCTGTGTAGCTTTATCATTGGCTAATATTCGTGTTGCAGATGTGTATGATCTATAGGCAAATATACACGTAATGGGAGCCCTGGTGGCGCAGTGGTCATGCATTGGGCTGTGTGTGGCCCACAAGGTCCGCAGTTCGAAACCACCAGCCGCTCTGCAGGAAAAAGATGGGGCTTTCTACTCCTGTCAACAGTTATAGTCTCAGAAACCCACAGGGGTAGTTCTGCCCTGTCCTATAGAGTCACTATGAGTTGGTATGAATTCGATGGCAGTGAGTTTGTTTTTCGGGGTTGTTGGTTTTTTTGTATACATATACATAATGAGACTTTGTAAAAAAAACAACCAATAATAGTACTGACATAAGTGTCTATCAAATCAGTGCTCTAAGCAGTGCCTGGCATGCAGCCACGCACACACACACACACACACACACACACACACACAGTCACATAACCAACACCTCACTTCTATCCCATTGATGCCGACTCAAAGCGACCCTATAGGACAGGGTAGAGCTGCCCTTGCGGGCTAGACTGTGACTGTTTAGTGGGTAGAAGGCGTCATCTTTCTCTCACAGAGCACCTGGTGCTTTTGAACTGCTGACCTTGCAGTTATCAGAGCAACATGTAACCCACTACCCCACCAGGGCTCATAGTTGAAAACCAAAAAACAAACTCGCTCCCATCGAGTTGATGCAGACTCACAGCGACTCTACAGGACAAGGTAGAACTGCCCCTGTACGTGTTCGGCACGGTCACCGTTTACGGGGTAGAACACTCCATCTTCTCCCAGGGCTCATAGTACCATCTCAATAAACACTGTGGACAACTGCAACTCGCTGTGCTGCCACCAGAGGGCAATGCTTTCCGGAGAGCAAGCAAGGCATGGTACTGACCTCATGGTCCCTGGCCACTTCCCGACTGGGAGCCCGCCTTTCTCCACCTCCACGCCTTGCCATTACTCTCTGAATGCCCATGTCAGCCTCCCTCGGGCTCCAGCCTGTTAGGCCTGGGTTGAGCTTTCCGACAACGGTGGTTTTTAAATGCTCCAACCAAAATCAAACCAAACGCACTGCCATCAAACTGAGGCTACCTCACAGGGACCCCTTCCTGGGTTTCTAAGGCTGTACATCTTTATTAAGGTGACCAGATTTTAACACTGGGAAAGCGGGACAAAAGCGGGACACCATTGATAAAATTCACATCCTGGCGAAACAGCCACATGGCAGCCGAAAACCATATACCTTAGCTTGTCGTGCACTCTTTCCAAAAATTGGGACTTTTTAAAAACGCTGCGGGACGCGGAAAAAATTGTTAAAAATCGGGACTGTCCTGCCAACAGCGGGACGTCTGGTCTCCTTAATCTTTATGAGAGCCTCATCTTGCTCCCAAGGAGCTGCTGGCAGGTTTGAATCACCAACCTTTCCGTTAGTAGCCCAGTGCCTAACCCACAGTGCCAACTGTCCCAAGATCCTTAAAAGCAGGTCTTCCAGAACTCTCGAGGCTGCCGTCTTCTGAACCTTTGCTTTGCGCTAGGACAGTGCTTATCGTTGCCGTTGTTGTCGGATACCGTACGTCTGTGCCGACCCACCGCCGCCTGGAGTACAGCCCTGTCTGACATGCACGATCACCCTACCAACCAGCCATGACAGTTCTGTGAGTGCAAGTTCAGCAGTTGGAAACCACTGGGCGTTTTCTCGGTAGAAAGACAGCGCTTACGGTCTCAGAACCCCCGAGGGGCAGTTTACCCTGTCCTGCAGGGCCGCTGGCCTCTGCAGCAGTGAGCTTGGTTTTCTGACACAGGTCACAAGCAGCAGAGCACAGTACTATGTTCGTATGCATCAAGCTGATCTATCCGGCCTGTCACGGCACCTTCAGCTCCCAAGGCAGAGCCTGAGAAACGTCTGGTGACGGACCAAGTGAACGAACATGAGTGACGTCCCAGGGCCTCTCATCCACGGTGTGAGCCTGAGAAACCACTGTCATCTCCTCACGCGCCCGTCTCCTGGTCCAGAGAAGGGGTAGGACCCCCGCCCCCCACTATCTCATGAGACGGTCACGTGAATATATTACAAACCACCCTCGTCGTCGTCATCGTCACAGCTAGGACCTGAGTGCTGACCACGGGCCAGACACCATTCTCAGCACTTGGTCATCGGGCCCTCACTCGGTCCTCACAGTTCCTCTGAGCCAGGGACTTGGATCCTCTTCACAGACGAAGCAACCGCACACAGAGAGATTACGGAGGGCCCTTGTGCCCCAGGACACACAGCTCGTGGGCAAAGGGAGGGCCGCACGCTCAGGAAGCAGGCTCTGGAGCATGCGTGTGTTGGTTTGATTTTTGCATAGCGATGACAGTTATTTATTTTTAACAATGCATTGTTCTTGAGAAGATACACAGCAACGCATGCAACGATCCAACAACTCCTCCCTGGGCAAGCCAGTGGCCTCCAGTGAATTCCTCAAGGTTTTCCTTCCCCTCTTTTCTGAAATGTTGACCCCTGTACACTCACTGCTCCCTTTGCTACCTATCTAAACTTTCAAGTTGGCATTGCCAATTCGGTCCCATAGAACCCGTGGACCACAGCCATCGAATCCATCCCGACTCATGCCGACCCCTATGGGACAGAGTAGAACTTTTCCCTAGGGTTTTCTAGACTGTAAATCTTTACAGGAGCAGACCAGCCTCATCATTCCCCCGAGAGCATCTGGTCGGTTTGAACCTCAGACCTTGCAGTAGCAGTCACACGCGTAACCCACTGCACCACCAGGATTCCTTCATGCTCTGAGCCGCCATGCGTAAACGTACTTGGAGGAAACATCAGAAACCTCACACAAAAACCTAACCGTTGTTCATTTGCATGAAGATGAAGATGATGGTGATGCTCGCCCCCAGGATCTGGGTGTGGGGCTCAGCAGCACCGTCCCTCAGGGACACCTTCCCAGGGACACACTCACCGCCAGCAGAATTGACCTTCACCAGCACCTGCCCCTTGGTCCAGCCGTCCTCCTGGGCCAGGGCCGCCATCACCTCTCTCACGGAGGACGTCACCGGCAGGTGCAGGGTCAGCACCGAGTGGTCGGGCCGGCAGATGTCGTAGGGGACTGGAGAGGAGGAGTGGGCTGAGTCGTGGGAGGGGACTGCTTGGTCTCCCCAGGGGGGTGGGAAGGGCATGGAGGAGAGGCTGGGGAGGCATGAGTCTGGGAGAGGGCACACGGGGGCAGGCTGCCTGGAAGCCTGGAAGGAGGCCTGGGAGAACCACACAGCACCCTCGATGGAGGGGTATCCGGTCAAGGATGACTGTAGGATGGGGGGCAGTGCAGAGAGCAGGCTCTGCACCCTAGCTTGGGCCACCAACCTTTGTCCCCAGCTCGGATGGCACAGTTGCTGCTGGAGAGGGGCTCATCCTGGATAGGGAGCCAAACGGGCACATTCCGGGCCTAGAGGGAGAGATGGGAAGGCCTGGAGAACACAGACAGTGTGTACAGGGGGGGTGGGGGGTGGAGGGGTGACAGTGAGGAGCCCCGCCCCACAACGCACGCATGCCACCAGAAGGCACTACACGATGCCCAGCCTGAGCCCAGGAAAGACTCCGTGGGGCATGGGTGGTGGGAGGGTGGGGCGTGGACTGGTAATTGGTTCTGAGGATAGGGCTGTACCTCTCTGCATGTGGGTGCCTCCTCTCTGCCCAGTAGGCCCACCCACCCACTGCCATCCAACTCAATGAGTCTGACCCTGCAGGACAGAGAAACACTGCCCCTGTGGG